TTTGGCAGAATGCAGCACATTTATTATACTGAGAGCTAAGCTCAAAAGAAGGGGGGAGTGTCCCACTCACACTCTCATACTCACGCTCCTAGGACAGGCACAGCACTGGAGATGTCAGGATCCTTCAAGGTCAGTGTCCCACAGCACAACGATGGATGGAGTGCTGAAGATAAGTCTTTCCGAGGCACAATGGAATGCAACGCAGTGAACCACTGGCCAGGCGGTCCGGGTAAAGGGCCTTCACGGCAGGTACAAGCTTGTGAGTGCACTCCTGAGCACATGGCCCCTTCCCCTTTTAAGGGACTGCTCCTCATGGCTTGCGACTAGTGATGGCTTGGCCCCGTCTGGTTGGTCACACTCCACCTCGGACAGTGTCCATGCATTGGGTGTGTGAGCACAGCCTAATTAGAGTCCCAGACATGGGAGCTCTTCTGTTCTTCCAGCTGTTTAAGCAGCCCATTCATCCCATAAGCATTGCAGGAGGGAAGAAGAGGGGGAAAGCCACTTAACAGGTATTCAAAGAGGAAGAGGAGACAAAAGCCGGAGGGGTGGGGGCAAGTGTAACAGACCTTTTGAGCACACAGGTTATACAGCGGCATACAGATAATTGCTGCTCGTACAACACCTATCAGGTGAATAGTGACTGAAAGTTGTTACCTTCTGATAACCAATGGAATATATTAAATACAATGGTGGCTTCATTTCCTAGTCAACAGATGATAAGATGAGGCCCTCCTCCATTTCATGGTTGGCAGAGGAAAGTTTGTGCTACAACTTCCAGGTTGGATCTGTTCTCTGAATAAAAAGATTCCAGCCTCCAGGGCTGTTGGTCTGGCATCTCTCACCAGTACTCAGGTGACAATCAGAATATTCCATACAACTACAACATAAAAGAATGGGCCCCAACCACAATGTTCAGTGGGATATATTTGGTCACAAAGATGTCAGCATAGTCCATCCACGTATGAGCTGCTAGAACCACATAGTTGTAACGGAAAAGTGAGCTAGGGATGCAGTCACACAGAGGAGTAAGTACAACATAGCAATAAATAATGATGTACTGATTGAATGGACAATGTAAAAAGCCAGTTAGGAACAAAACGCTCCAAGACTTTTACAAGATAAATTCCAAGGCTCTTTCCAACTGGAATTTCTGGGATTATGGTCAGATTTTCATCATAACTTGTTCACTTGAAGGCTAGAGGCAAAATGCACACAGCTGCACCTATGCATTTATACTGTTCTAGTTTTTGGTATCAGAATTGCTAAGTCATAAAACCTTCTCCTTTTCATCCCTAAGCATCTTTACAGAAAGATGGAGCAGTTCAGCATTGTCATTTATTCCTGTCCACGGCTTGTTCCTTCATTAAGCCCAGCCTGGTCATGTCTTTGTATATGATGTCCTGACAGCTAGCTGATGGTCAGCTTTAGGTTGGCTTGACCTTGGTTGTGTGCGCTTTCTTTGGCATCCTATCATCAGCATTCCAGCACTTTTGCTGCACAGAGGATGCTATTTCTCTTTCAAAATGGCACCCTCTGCATAGCGTCATCTCACACTTACCATACGTGCAAGATCATGCCACATGGAAGACAACATTCTATAGAGCCAAATGGCATCCTCCACACATTTGTGCGAGGTCACACCAGTGGGGCGTTCCAGTAGTGTACAGCCCATTCAGGACTATACCACTGACAGCGTCCCCATCATTGCAATCTTTTTGGTTCTAGAAAATCCTGTACCCTGATTTCACATCCCACTCTTCTAATTTAATTTTTCTTAAGCTCCTTCTACTTTACACCTATCATCTTTCAACGAACGCTGATCTCTGCTTCCTCCAGCGTTCTGATGTCTGTTTCATTTAACACAGCTGCTCCCAGACCATAGAGTAATGTTGTTAGTACACTGCTTTGACAACTTTTCACTTTGGTACTAAACAATAGTTTTTATCAGTCCATAATTTCATCAGTTTCAGTGCAACACTCATAGTTAAGGCACACTGCCTTTTAACTTCCATTGGCACTAATCAAGCTTCCTGGGTACATACAAGATTTTACTGGCTCTATGACTTCACCACTGATACATTTCAGCACTATCAATTGTTCCTTTTCCAACATGCAACCACTTCATCTTCTTGGCATTTATTGCAAGACCAAGTTGACTACACCAATACTCCAAGATAGAGACAAGAGTATCTTACACCATTTGACTTGAGCCAGTTGCTTAAATTTTCCACCAATTCTTATGACTTTTAGTACATAGCTTTTATAATTGCAATTACCTTATCTGAAACTCCATATGACTTTGCTACTTTCCATAATGCTTCCCTCCAAACTGAATCAAATGCTTGTGAAGTCAACGAAAACTGCAAACATCTTTAATCCCCATTCTCACTTCCCCCCACGATCAACTATCTGAGCATGAATATCTGATTAATGCAACTTTGGCCTGGTCTTAAACCCACGCTGTTCCTTGCCTACTACTTCCTCTAAAATTGGCCTTAATCTAATAATAATTGCTCTCATCATGATTTTTCCCAGTACTGACAATAAGCTTACATCACTATAATTTTTGGGAATCATCAGTAACACCTTTCTTCATGGTTGTCTAAAGCAGTAGTTGTACCATTCAGCTAGTATCTCTTCTTGCTCCCCTACCTTCTTGGATATTTTTCTAATGCTCTGATAGCATTCGTCGTATATTCCTGCAGCTCTAATTTTCTAATTGCTTCACTGCTCTTCCTATTTCTTCTTCTGATTTCAGTTCAGAGCTGATATCCACTTAGCCTTGCAAGTTGCCCTGTTTTCTAGGATGTCTAAAATGCTTGCATCACAATGACAGGGTTCAGCACTTTATCAAAATGCTCCTTCTGTACTCTCAGCACCTATTTGGCATTTGTTCTCAGTTCACCAGTAGCCTTTCTTAATGCTTTCATCGTTGGCCTGATTGTGTATCCATGCAACCAAGCAGCTCCCTAGATAACCCATTCCAGTGCTTCACCACCCTCCCAGTGAAAACGTTTTTTCTAATATCCAAACTAAACCTCCCCCACTGAAATTTGAGACCATTACTCCTTGTTCTGTCATCTGCTACCACTGAGAACAGTCTAGATCCATCCTCTTTGGAACCCCCTTTCAGGTAGTTGAAAGCAGCTATCAAATCCCCCCACATTCTTCTTTTCTGCAGACTAAATAATCCCAGTTCCCTCAGCCTCTCCTCATAAATCATGCGCTCAAGCCCCCTAATCATTTTTGTTGCCCTCTGCTGGATGTCAGCAATTTTCCCACATCCTTCTTGTAGTGTGGGGCCCAAAACTGGACACAATACTCCGGATGAGGCCTCACCAAAGTCGAATAGCGGGGAATGATCACGTTCCTCGATCTGCTGGCAATGCCCCTACTTATACAGCCCAAAATGCCGTTGGACTTCTTGGCAACAAGGGCACACTGTCGACTCATATCTAGCTTCTTGTCCATTGTAACCCCTATGTCCTTTTCTGCAGAACTGCTCCCTAGCCATTCAGTCCCTAGTCTGTAGCAGTGCATGGGATTCTTCCGTCCTAAGTGCAGGACTCTGCACTTGTCCTTGTTGAACCTCAACAGATTTCTTTTGGCCCAATCCTCCAATTTGTCTAGGTCCCTCTGTATTCCATCCCTACCCTCCAGCATATCTACCACTCCTCCCAGTTTAGTGTCATCTGCAAACTTGCTGCGGGTCAAATCCATGCCATCCTCCAGATCAATAATAAAGATATTGAACAAAATCAGCCCCAGGACTGACCCTTGGGGCACTCCGCTTGAAACCGGCTGACAGCTAGACATGGAGTCATTGATAGCTACCTGTTGAGCCCGACGATCTAGCCAGCTTTCTATCCACCTTATAGTCCATTCATCCAGTCCATACTTCTTTAACTTGCTGGCAAGACTAGACAAAGTCAGATTGGAAATAATGCACAAATGTTTATTGATGAAGGTAATTACTCATTAGGATACTTTACCAAGAGTCACAGAGGATTCTCCATTAGTAGCAATTTCTAAATCAATACAGGATGTTTTTCTAAAAGATCTGCTCTAGCACAAACAGGAAGTAGTTAAGGTCCCTTCTGGCCTTGGAATAACTCAGTCTAGGTAGGAAATGTCATCTGTTCAGAGGAGACAGACACCAGGACATCCACTCTCCAAGGTCATGTCTACACAAGGGTGAAAAGGCAGGGGTTTTTAATCAAGTTAGCTAATGACTCACAACAGCACTCAGCACTGCCTGCAGAGATAGTTAAAGGGGTGGTTCAAAACCAGGTTAGCTCATTGACTATAAAAATAAAAGCCCAAGGCTAAAAGGGGGGTGACAAATCCCAGGAGGGGCAGGGCTTGGCACCATCTGGGCATCTCCTGAAAGGAAAGTCCTGACAGTCCTGGAGGATGACAGTCCTGGAGGAGACAATTTTGCAAACAGCCTCTGCTGGTGATCAGGACTCTCATTAGCTATTGCTATGCATTAAGTTGCTGCCCTGTTCTTTAACTATTAACACAATTAGCTCTTAAGGCCAGTGCCCGGGGCTGCTGTGTGCTGACTCAGCATGCTGGAAAGCAATAGCTGGGGAAAGACCTGTACTGGTAAAATGCCTCTTGCTCTGCCTTTGGGCCAGGACCCAAACTGGACCAAATGTCCTTGGAGAGAGGCACATCCCAGCAATTCCAATGCAGGCAGGCATTCGTACCCCTTGCTGTTAACAGTGGGACTGGAGACAGTTACCGGCCACGGTCTCCTTCCAGCCACGGGTCTCTAACCACACCACGCATTTGATTACATTTGTTAGGTCAGCACTTCCCTCTTGAGCACTGCTGCTGGGCCATGGGCTGCTCCCATCCCCAGGAGTCCTGGCAGACTGTGGCCCCTGCTAAGGAGGGGAGGCACCAAACATGCCAGCTCCTGCTCTTAGCAGATCATCAATTAGTGATTAACGTTCAGCCAGGGTGTAGCCTGGCTAAGCAAGTGACCAGTCATTCCCGTTCACAGCCTTTATCTCAGTGCAAACAGTGCCCTGCAGTGTGGGACTCCCCGGGCGGAGTGCTGGCCTGTTATTCAGTGACTACAGTGCAGCCGGCCAGGAAGTTGAAGGCTACATAAGCAGATTGCGCCTGCTGGGCTCAGAAAGCACCTTCGCTTCTCCAGGCAGGTCTCTCCATTGCAGGGCACTGCTGGCTCCCCAGGACTGTTACCAGCACGGGTGGATCACAGCGAGGAGCTGAGGCAGCCACACCGTTCCTGCTTCTGCTGCCTGTGTTGGCTTTGGCTCGCCTCGGGGACTTTGCGCTCTCTGCAGCGGCAAAGCCACAGGCCAGGGGCTAGCTCAGGGTAGGATCTGAGGGCCCAGACAGCCAGCAGGGCAGCTAGGACTCTCTTACTGGCTGATTTCATCCCTGGGGGAAACTTTCCTCAGCACCCAGCTCCTCTGGTGCGGGAGCCAAGGCCAGTCCAGCTCCTGCAGCCCTGGGGATGGGCCCTCAGTAACGGCCTGAGCCAGCGAGCTCAGCTGGGACCCTGCTGCTTCCCCAGGACAAGTTCGAAGGCATCAGGTCCCACCCCAGCCGAGGCCTCATGGCGCTGGCTCCGGCTGATGTCCTGCTGGACGTGTGTGTCAGGGAGTGTGGGATTTGCTACGAGGCCTACAAAGCGGCTTCCAAGTGGCGGGTGCCCAAGCTGCTGCTGTGCCACCACTCGCTGTGCTTCTCTTGCCTCAGGAAGCTGGTCTGCCAGGCCCAGGCCATCTCCTTTGTGGTCTGCCCCTTCTGCAGGATGGTGACCCTGGTGCCCGAGCAGGGGCTGCAGGCCCTGCAGAACGACGAGGACATTCTGCGGGAGGCATCGGCCCAGTGCAGCCTGCGCAGCCCCGGCGTCCTGGCGGGGGCCAGCTCGGCCCCAGGGAAGGAGGAGAAGGAGAAGGAGGAGGAGGAAGAGGCGGCCCCCAGCACCTTGGAGTACTCCACAAGCGATTCCTCTCTCTCCCTGGACATGGAGTTTAACTACGTGACCCATTCATCCATCTTCACTATAAGCAGCGTGGTCTCCCCGTACGGCTTGGCGGTGCCGGGCAGCTCCAGGGCCTGGAGCGGGCTCCACATGCAGGAGGTGCAGAACGCCTTCTTGGTGGGGCTCCCAGGCCGAGCAGCATCTGCAGATGCTCAACCACCCATCTCCTCAGTGGAGAATCTGCGCCTGTGCTTCGCCATGGGCATCCTCATCCTCATCATCTCTGTCTTCTTCCTGCTGGTGTTCCTGAAGTAGGTCAGGATCTGGGGGTGCAGCAGGAGGGGTGGCTGGAACCAGCCCAGGACAGAACTGACCCAGTAGCCATGGCGGCAGGGACCCAGGCTGCTGATGGAGCAATGGGGAGAGGCCTTTTCAGATGGATCAGCTGAGCTCTGACCTGGGACCCCTGCAGGAGCCCAAACGTGGTGGCCTCCACCCAGAGCCTCGCTGAGCGTGGTGTCCTCGGTGCTGGGGACGCAGGGTGGGCTGAGCGTGGGTGCCAGAGGATTTGCCTACAGCCATCCAGCACGAGTCCTAACATGAATATTTGTGTGACGAACAGAAGTGACAGTGGCTGGCCCAGGCTGGGGGGGGGGCAAGCATTGGGGGTGCTCCCCGAGCCTGGGACAATCTGGTGAGGCCCCTATGGTGGTCATTGAGAGCAAGACGGTAAGAGTCTGTGGAAAGAGGAAATAAAGGCAGCTTCCCACTCACCTCCACCCTGGTGTGCTGGGTCTCTGGGAGCGCCACATGGGGTGGAACAGGAGCCACTAATGAGCCACGAGAGCCTGGGCTACCCCTGTAAACAGGGAAAGGGAACCCGGAGCAGCAAAGCCTCCAGCCCAGCCAGAAAACTGCCATTACCAGCCCTGCAGCTCTGCCCACTTCCCTTTCAGGCTGCAGCGTCCCTGCCATGGGCTTATCCCCCCCCCCACCCCTCTCCACTTGCCTCAAGGGAAGGCCCTGCCTGTATCTGCTGGGACAGAGCGGTTGTAGGGGATCCTGTCCGTGATGGGGGGGTGATGGGGGCCTGCCTGCCACGGGGGATCACAAGCGCAGACCCCTACTCCCTGCAGTGGTACCGATCTTGCTAGCAGTCAAAGGTGGCAGCTCAGTGCTGTGGCTCCCAAGGGTGGGGAGAGTCTGCTGTGCTGGAAAAGGCCCAGTGCTGCTGCAGCAGGACAGTCAGGCCTTGGGTAGAACTGCCCCCCTTGTTCCACCATGGGGGTCATCAGGTCGGGTGGGCAAGAGGGCTCTGTGCTGGCTCAGGAGGGCCTGTGGAGTGGGGTCAAGAGCCACAGTGGTCCTGTTCCTGCAGCCAGGCTGAGGCAGGAGGCCGGGGGGATTTGGTCATTGTGGGCAATGGGAGTTAGGCACCTGGAATGCTTTGAGGATCTGGCCCAGCTGCTTGGGCAGGATTCTATCGCTATGTGTGGGGAGGATGAGTATGTCTTGTACTGAGGAGCCTGCGGCTTTCCTGCCTTCTAGGCCCTGAGCACAGAGTCCCCGTGCCAGCTCCTTCTCCGACTGGGGTGGCCTGCCATGCTCTCATTCCTAGGACTAGTTGGTGGTTCATTTAGTTTTCTGTGCAGCCCAACTTCATTCCTGTTTTGTTGATCCCTAGCATGCAGAGTGTACAATTTGCTGGGAACGTGAACAATAACGTCCTCCCAGGACAAGGGAAATGCATGAACTACAGAGGTGTGTCTGGATTCCTGCTAGTAATCAGCAGACACAGCTTAGCTCTAAGGTCAGTCCATCGACACAGAATTATACATAAACCTGCTGCAGCTCTGGCATATGGAGCAGAGCCTGGGCCGGCTCCAGGGTTTTGGCCGCCCCAAGCAGCCAAACAAAACAAAAACAAACAAAGAAAAAAAGCCGCGATCGCGATCTGTGGCGGCAATTCGGTGGGAGGTCCTTCACTCCCAGCAGGAGTGAGGGACCCTCCGCCGAATAGCTGGACGTGCTGCCCCTCTCCGAAGTGTCCGCCCCAAGCACCTGCTTGGTAAGCTGGTGCCTGGAGCTGGCCCTGAGCAGAGCACATGGTAACATCATGGATTACAGCTACTAGTCAAGGAGAGTGCCAGCTGTCTGTTTTAGGCAGTAGGCTGAGAATTGGGAGAAGTATGAGCTATCTATGCAAGTCTCTTACCCCGGCTGTAAAATGGGGACATCTACCAGCCTTTGGGAAATCGTTCAGCACCCCAACCCTAAGGGCTTGTTCATACATGGTGCTACGCAGGAACAGCAGTGACTCAATAACTCAGCGTGGACGTCTTCCAGAAGCAGGGCCTTGTTCCCACTGTGGGTTAAGATAAACAGAAGCAAGGCCCTTTGATTCTGGACTAGGCATGTCCAGGGAGTGACTCATGAACAGCTAAGTGCCCTGTGCCAAGTATCAGGGTCATGTGTCCAAAACTTTAAAGCTGAGCAGACATAGTGCTCATCTTTTGGAAATGCCTGAACAGATCACCAAGTTTAAAAATTAAACCATCATTAACCTCCCCCTATACTCCCTCCCCCCTCTTGCTGCCTGCCTTGCAAGATGAGGTCTCACTCTCTTGCTTGAATTTGTAGACTTTTCCTCAATATGTTTTCGTAGTTCTCGGTGCAGTTTCCTAGGGATGTGAGAACTGTTACCGCCAACGTACCTTATGTTAGAATAGGGGTGGGCAAACTTTTTGGCAAGAGGACTACATCTAGGCATAGAAATTGTATGGTGGGCCATAAATTTTCACGAAATTGGGGTTGGGGTATGCCAGGGGGTGAGGGCTCTGGGTGGGGCTGCGGGCTCTGGGGTGGGGCCAGAAATGAGGAGTTATGGGTGTAGGAGGGGGTCTCTTACCCTAAGTGGCTCCCAAAAGCAGCGGCATGTTCCCCCTCCGGCTTCTACGTGGCGGCACAGCCAGGTGGGTCTGCTGCATGCTGTCCTGTTCGCAGATGCCACCCCTGCAGCTCCCATTGGTCACTCCCCAGCGGAAGCTCAAGGGGCAATTAAAACAGATTAAAACCCTAACCCACCCCGGTGTTAGAGGCAGTTTACCTTAAACTTTTCATAGCACTGTGGTGGAGAGAATGTTTTGCGTTTTGCAAGCATGGAGCAGCCCCATGGCAATTCCGTACATGGCAGTGACACAAGGAAAGTGTTCACATATTTTAATTGTCTGAGATACAATAAGTGTTTTGTCCCTTCCGGAAAGAAGTTACTCACATCATCGCCTACTAGTCCACCATCTCCCTTTACCTGCTAGTCCAGGCCCCTCTCCACTTGTCGCCTGCCCCTTTGCTGTTACAGAGGATTTTTTTCTAATTGGACTTATTCCCCCTTTTTCCTGCTTTATCATGTGTTAAGAGAGCCTGAAAGGGGAGGTTGTTTGTTTGTGTGTTTAACTGCATCTCTTTCGCCTTAGAACAATCAGGCATGTTTACTCTGCCCTGCTTTTGTGGGAGAACCCTGGTGGGATCAGGGAGGTTTGCTGGGAGAGCCAGCCATTCAGCAGAGGCAAGGGTGCTGGATCTTTACCAAGGGTTCCTTTATCTCAACCTTATGTTAGTCACTGACAGGCAATAAGTGGTAACGGAGAAGAGCCCCGTCCAAGAGTTTAAAAGCTGGAGGAAAAAAATCCCCTCTTCTCTCCATAGTTCAGTTTTCCCACTTGGCTCCTTTGATGCTGTCATTTCCCAGTGCCTAGCTTCCCACAGCGCGACCCAGGCTCATCCCACAGGCATTCATGCTGTGAAAAACACGCCGAATTTAAATAGAAAAGAAAAAGAAAAAAATGTTTTGCCCCTTGGGGAGAGGGAAATACAGGCACCAGGCCACTCTGCTCCAGAGCAGTTTTTTAAATGGCCTTTACACTACCCTGCGACTGCTGGCAGTGCCACCATCCATGCTGCTAGCTGGCGCAGCCCTGGTTACACAACCAGAGCCAGCTAACTTGGGAATCCCTCAGGGGATTTTACAAACGTGTGAGTGGAGCCAGGGCTTGAGGGCACAGTAACTGGATCAAATTTCTTGAGCGCCCAATTCAGGCATAGACAGATTTTTGTACGACATTAAAGGTGCCTAAAGACCCAGATGCACACAGGTATTTAGGCTCCTAGTGTCTGTTGATTTCAATGGCATTAGGAGCCTAAATTCCTTTATGGGCAGATGCCCTGGCCCACCTCTGCATCTGGCTGATAACAGTATCAGTGCTGACTGTTGTAGGAACAGCAGGGGTCTGTATGCTATGTATAACCAGTATGCTCAAAAGGTCTCTGTTACACTCTCCCCCCACCCTCTCCCCCGCCACTTTTGTCTCCTCTCTCTCTTTGAATACCTGTGAAGTGGCTTTCCCCCTCCCCATCCCCCCTGGAATGCTTGTGGGATGAATGGGTTGCTTAAACAACTGGAAGATCAGAAGAGCTCCCAGATAAGCAAGGTGTCTGGGACTCTAATTAGGCAGCGCTCACACACCCAATGCATGGACACTGCCCAAGGTGGAGTGTGACCAACCAGACGCGGCCAAGTCATCTCTAGTCGCAGGCCATGAGGAGCAGGTCCTTAAAAAGGAAAGGAGCCATGTGCTCGGCAGTGCATTCACAAACTTGTACCTCCTGTGAAGGCCCTTCGCCCAGACCACCTGGCTGCGTTGCATTCCATCGTGCCTCGGAAAGACTTACTTTCATCACACCATCCATCATTGCGCTGTGGGACACTTACCTTGAAGGATCCTGACATCTCCTGTGCTGTGCCTGTCCTGGGAGAATGAGTACGCGAGTGCGAGTGTGATGGCCCGCCTTCTTTTGAGCTTTGCTCTCAGTATAATAAACGTGCTGCTTTCTGCCAAACTCTGGTGGGTCATTAGTCTTAATCTTATTGGCTGGGCCAATTTTGGGTAACACTGACATAATATACTTTGCTGTCTGTAAGACGTTTGCCTTACTACTGCATGACACTTTTATTAAAAAACTAGTATGATATAAAATCAACATGGTACCCATTACATGTATTAAAAACTGGCTAACTGATAGGTCTCAAAATGTAATTGTAAATGGGGAATTGCCATCAAGTGGGTGTGTTTCTGAGGTGTGTGTGTCCCTCGAGGATCAGTTGTTGGCCCTACCCTATTTAACATCTTTATCAGTGACCTGCAATACAACATAACATCATCACTGATAAAGTTTGCAGATGACACAAAAATTGGGGGAGTGGTAAATAATGAAGGGGACGGGTCATTGACACAGCAAGAACTGGATTGCTTGGTTTACTGGGCTAAACAAACAATACACATTTTAATATGGCTATATGTAAACATCTAGGAACAAATGTAGGCCATACTGACTGACTGGGATTTAATAATGGGCTCTTCAATCTAGCTGAGCAATGTATAACAATCAGAAGGCTGGAAGTTGAAGTTAGCCAAATTAAGACTGGAAATAAGGTGTACATTTTTGAGGGTAAATAAGCATTGGGACAATTTACCAAGGGTCCATCGCTGACAATTTGTAAATAAAGACTGGATCTTTTTCTAATAGTGACCATAATATAATAACATTTAACATCCCTGTGGTGGGAAGAAAACCTCAGCAGCCCAATACTGTGGCATTTAATTTCAAAAAGGGGAACTATGCAAAAATGAGGGGGTTAGTTAAACAGACGTTAAAAGGTACAGTGACTAAAGTGAAATCCCTGCAAGCTGCATGGACGCTTTTTAAAGACACCATAATAGAGGCCCAACTTAAACGTATACCCCAAATTAAGAAACACAGTAAAAGAACTAAAAAAGAGCCACCGTGGCTTAACAACCATGTAAAAGAAGCAGTGAGAGATAAAAAGGCATTTTTTAAAAAGTGGAAGTCAAATCGTAGTGAGGTAAATAGAAAGGAGCATAAACACTGCCAAATTAAGTGTAAAAATGTAATAAGAAAAGCCAAAGAGGAGTTTGAAGAACGGCTAGCCAAAAACTCAAAAGGTAATAACAAAATGTTTTTTAAGTACATCAGAAGCAGGAAGCCTGCTAAAGAACCAATGGGGCCCCTGGATGATCGAGATACAAAAGGAGCACTTAAAGACGATAAAGTCATTGCGGAGAAACTAAATGAATTCTTTGCTTCAGTCTTCACGGCTGAGGATGTTAGGGAGATTCCCAAACCTGAGCTGGCTTTTGTAGGTAACAAATCTGAGGAACTGTCACAGATTGAGGTGTCACTAGAGGAGGTTTTGGAATTAATTGATAAACTTAACAGTAACAAGTCACCGGGACCAGATGGTATTCACCCAAGAGTTCTGAAAGAACTCAAATGTGAAATTGCGGAACTATTAACTAGGGTTTGTAACCTGTTCTTTAAATCAGCTTTTGTACCCAATGACTGGAAGATAGCTAATGTAACGCCAATATTTAAAAAGGGCTCTAGAGGTGATCCCAGCAATTACAGACCGGTAAGTCTAACGTCAGTACCGGGCAAATTAGTTGAAACAATAGTAAAGAATAAAATTGTCAGACACCTAGAAGAACATAAATTGTTGGGCAAAAGTCAACATGATTTCTGTAAAGGGAAATCGTGTCATACTAATCTATTAGAGTTCTTTGAAGGGTCAATAAACATGTGGACAAGGGGGATCCAGTGGACATAATGTACTTAGATTTCCAGAAAGCCTTTGACAAGGTCCCTCACTAAAAGCTCCTACGTAAATTAAGTTGTCATGGGATAAAAGGGAAGGTCCTTTCATGGATTGAGAACTGGTTAAAAGACAGGGAACAAAGGGTGGGAATTAATGGTAAATTCTCAGAATGGAGAGGGGTAACTAGTGGTGTTCCCCAAGGGTCAGTCCTAGGACCAATCCTATTCAACTTATTCATAAATGATCTGGAGAATGGGATAAAAAGTGAGGTGACAAAGTTTGCAGATGATACTAAACTGCTCAAGATAGTTAGGACCAAAACAGACTGTGAAGAACTTCAAAAAAAATCTCACAAAACTAAGTGATTGGGCAACAAAATGGCAAATGAAATTTAATGTGGATAAATGTAAAGTAATGCACATTGGAAAAAATAACCCCAACTATACATACAATATGATGGGGGCTAATTTAGCTACAACAAATCAGGAAAAAGATGTTGGAATCATCGTGGATAGTTCTCTGAAGATGTCCATGCAGTGTGCAGAGGCAGTCAAAAAAGCAAACGGGATGTTAAAAATCATTAAAAAGGGGATAGAGAATAAGACGGAGAATATATTATTGCCCTTATATAAATAGATTGTACGCCCACATCTTGAATACTGCGTACAGATGTGGTCTCCTCATCTCAAAAAAGATATACTGGCACTAGAAAAGGTTCAGAGAAGGGCAACTAAAATGATTAGGGGTTTGGAACAGGTCCCATATGAGGAGAGATTAAAGAGGCTAGGACTTTTCAGTTTGGAAAAGAAGAGACTAAGGGGGGATATGATAGAGGTATATAAAATCAGGCGTGGTGTGGAGAAAGTAGATAAGGAAAAGTTATTTACTTATGCCCATAATACAAGAACTAGGGGCCACCAAATGAAATTAATGGGTAGCAGGTTTAAAACAAATAAAAGGAAGTTCTTCTTCACACAGCGCACAGTCAACTTGTGGAACTCCTTACCTGAGGAGGTTGTGATGGCTAGGTCTATAACAGCGTTTAAAAGAAAACTAGATAAGTTCATGGAGGTTAAGTTCGTTAATAGCTATTAGTCAGGATGGGTAAGGAATGGTGTCCCTAGCCTCTGTTTGTCAGAGGGTGGAGATGGATGGCAGGAGAGAGATCACTTGATCATTACCTGTTAGGTTCACTCCCTCTGGGGCACCTGGCATTGGCCACTCTTGGTAGACAGGATACTGAACTAGATGGACCTTTGGTCTGACCCAGTACGGCCGTTCTTATGTTCTTATGTTATGTAAAAGTTCTACTTGAGGTATTGGTTTGGGGAAGGTCCCTGGCCTGTGCTGTACAGGAGGTCAGACCAGATGATCACCAGGTTCCACACTGGCTTTGGAATCTCTGAATCTTTAGGCACCTAAATACATTTAAAAATCTGGCCCAGAGTCCCTTGCTAACCACCTCGGGCTCCTGGTCAACTTGCCATGAAGGGCTTATCTACAAGAGAGAGTTCCCCTGGAGTTAATTGATTGCCCATGTTTGTAAGGATGGGCAGGACTCTGTACCATGGATAACATTTGGGGAGAGTCCACACCAGCTTTACAATAATTAATTAGGTGCAATTAATGCCCCATCAGTTAACTCCAGGTAAAATTCTGCATCAAGGATATACCCTTAGGGCTTGTCTACACTTACATTTTATAGCACTCTAACTTGCTGGCTTAGGGGGGCACGCTCCCCCCCCCCCAGTTCCTTCTTGCCAGACAATGCTGACAGAGGGGAAGAAGGGCAGGACGTGGAATAGACGTGAGCAACACATCTTGAAGAACACAAGTTACCGACAAGGTAACTGTCTTTTCTTCTTCAAGTGATTGCTCAAGTGTATTCCACAATAGGTGATTCCAAGCTATATCTGTTGGAGGTGAGTAGGAGTTCACAGAGACTTGGGATGGAGCACTGCCCTGCCAAACCCTGTGTCTTCCCTGGTCTGGGAGACAATTGCATAATGTGAGGTGAATGTGTGAACTGAAGGCCATGTGGCAGCCCTGCAAATGACTTGAATGGGGACAGGGGCTAAAAAGGCAGCCAACTAGGTCTGCGCCCTAGTTGAGTGCACCCTCACAATTGGCAGTGAGGGATTCCTGCCAGGTCATAACAGGTATGGATGAACGAGGTGATCCAGTTGGAGAGCCGCTGAGTGGAGATTGGCTGACCCTTCATGCACTCGGCCGAGGAGATGAACAGCTACAAGGACTTCCTGAATGCCTTAGTCCACTCCAGGTAAAAAGCCAGAGCCTGTCTCAAATCCAGCGTGTGGAGGCGTCGCTCCTCACTGGACCCATGGGGCTTGGGGCAGAGGACTGGCAGGAAAATGTCCTGACCCATGTGGTAGGCAGAGTCCACCTTCGTGAGGAACAAAGGATGTGGGCGGAGCTGGACCTTATCCTTATGGACCACCATGTACGGGGGCTCAGAGGTCAGGGCCCTGAGCTCCAAGACCCACCCAGCTGACGTGATCACCACCACGAGAGATGCGACCAGGAGCACATAGCTAGTGGCTCAAACAGGGGGTCTGTGAAGCGGGCCAATACCAGGTTCAGGTCCGACTGGGGGACTAACACACAGGAAGAGATGATTGAATCCCTTAAGGAATAGGCCAGTCATAGCATGGGAGAATACCATGTGGCCCCCCGCACCAGCAGATGGGAAGCAGATATGGCCTCCAAGTGCACCTTAATGGACGA